TTTGATTCAGCTCTCTCACTCACTCTCTCTCACTCTCTCTCTCTATCTCTCCCCTCCGTCTCTCTGATCCTGCACGTCTGCTATTCTCAACTGCCGAAATAGAGCACAGCCTCGTTTTTACAGGAAGAAGAGAGCTGCTATAGTGGTGTTTCCATGACGACTGTTGCCCGGCTCTCTTGCTACCATGACAGCTGTTCCCATGGCGAGAGGACTGACCCTAGAGCCCTAGAGCTCTGTCTTCTCTCAAACTCCACACACCTCACACAGGTCAAAGATCATTTCCGGGAAGTAATACAGCCACTGCATCCCAATTGTAGACTAAATACTAATCTGAAATGCTTTTTTGATTATGTTTTGTTTCTGAGGGGTCATACATATTTTAGTATTCATTGTGGTATCTTTGAATATCTCTACGGAGTTTGCCAGACAGTATGCACTGTAAATACTGTTAAGTGGGAATCAGGCCATAAAAAATTGTGATATAAGACATACTGACAAATTGCTATGGTTTACATTCTTCTATTAAAAAAACACTGTATGATATTCCTAAAAGAGAAATAACTCAGTAGAACCTCTAAGACCGTTTGCATTTTGTGTGTGTTTAAAGCTGCACTGTATACATTTTGGGGATTTGGAGACATCTCTGGTGGAAATTTGTAATTGCATGCAACGTGTGGAAAAATTTTGTAACATGGGTTGAGTTTCGCAACTCTTCCTCAAGGAGATGAATCTAATGATTGCAAGTGCGTTAAAAGAGTATTCATAGGGAACTCAGTGAAAACTTGGTGAAAGACGTGTCTTCCAAGGATGTGAGTGAAGTAGCTCCTATTGTCATCATATTTTCATCAGTATAATGTTGATTTTGCCTTTGAGACATACATGTTGTGCCGGACCTTCTTTTTGAGCCTTATATGCAGCGTTAATGTATGAAGATGTTTGACGTGGTAATGCTACTTCTTTCAGTTTTAAAATAAAAAATATTAGCTTTACATATAATATAGCTTCATATCGCTGCTGTCGGAAGAAAGTAGTAGTATCTCCATTTTTGACATTTTTCAGTTTTTGACATAATTTGAAAATACCTGTTGGCCTTTATATTGTCTGTAAATTTCATGATGAATGGACTAAACGAACGGACCCAAAATTACTTGGAAAAAGTCTGGTTCCAATGACTTACATTAAAAGTAAAGTATGTTTCCTTCTCCTGTAAAGTTGCCATTTTGGAGATATGAGGTTTTTGCCAATCGATCATTGACCATATATATATATACATATAAATATGACACGTACTTGGTTGATTTTTTAGTACAAGCTGCTTTCGATATGCTTGGCTGCAGTCAGGAGAGGTAAGCCCTTTATGCACTGTTCTGTGAAGGCTACTCGTTTGTATTCCACAAAGCTTAATTGATCGGTCTCCTAAGGCTGCTTTTTGAAAAGATACTCTTAATGTGAATGATAGAAGCTGAGAAGCAGAAAGTTAATTTGTAATAAATTAATAACAAATAGTTCAGTATATTTTACTACGTCTTTTACTGCCTTTTTTAAACTACTTATAGTAGAACTTGCGTAACTCTTTACCGTTAGCACTAGCTATACAATGTTTGCATTCTTACAAAAGGACTGATTTTTCATTATCTATCATTATACATTTTAGAAAGCTGACACCTAAACTAATTTCAGCTTGTACAAGCTTTTGGAATGGAGCTTATATGAACTTCCATTGGAACATAAATTTTGCAGATGCAGTTGCAGATGCAGTGGTTTCATCTGCTGGCATTTCTCTTGAACTTTCTTCAGGTCAGATGAATGCAGTGACAGAAGAGCGTGAAGGATATTCCACTAGCATCCTCAAAAACTGTCAGCATGTAGGCTGCAATTCTCAGCCGTATTCAAAGCATTATTCTGATTGTATTAGCCTTTAATGACGTAGCAGTCTAGAAATGTCCACCCAATCTACAGCCTAGCTTTGAGAATGCAGCTCTGCTGGTGTTGAACACTATTTTCTCACAATGCAATGTATAGCTGAGTAGCAAATGCCGAGTTTAGCGCTGCTACAACAGCTGTAAATATGATGCCTACCAAGAATGCCAATATGTGACTTTTTTGTTGTACAATATATGACTGTACATAGTTACAGTTTGGACACAGCAAGTGTCTACTGACCTTCTGTTGTTTCACTTGTAGGTTATCAGCTAAAAAATGCTAGCATAGCCAACAGGGAATTGAATCTAACACTAAGCAGTTAGCAAGATTTCACGCATTTAGCCTACAACTTATGCTGCTTTGCCACTCAACGACATTAGCGCAAAGTTAGCACATCACATTTTAGACATCTTAAGACTCTTTCTAATCTGCGTTTGTAGCTGTTTCATTTTTTTTAATAGAACCAATTTAGCATTGAGACAGGTCATTCGAGTCATTTGATGCTCATAGACCTGTTAGCCATCGTCATTGGCACCCCACGCTCAAGGTTCCACGTCATGGTTTAATCCCCTCTGCGTAACACCATCTTTCGGGCCAAGGCTGCCAAAGTCACTTCCAGGCTCCAGCTACCTGGGGCCACAGTCTGCTGCCTCTTCCCTCAGGAGAAGCTTCAGATGCAGGGAGAGACGGCTACGGACGCTAGCGAAGGAGATGGAAGAGTGTAAAAACAGCTCTGGTAGTGCGTCTCAGTGGAATTCGGATTTAGAAATGTTTGCTTCGGTCTTCTGGGAATTCTAACAAGTCACCAGAGAATATGGCAGTGCGCTACAAAGAGAGGTGAACTGTTCAAATTTGCCTTCATAGCTGTGCATGTCGTGGATATGAATTACTGGAACTCATTGTGTGAAGGGTATAACAATATAAAAATGATTTTGACTTTTTGTTATCAAAAATGTGCCTCTTTTATGAAGTCAGTCTTACCATGTTGCTCAGATAACATCAATGTAGGTTTTTGTTGTTCAGGTTTGAACAGAACACGGTCGCTACAGCATAAAGGAATGAGAAAATTTGTTATTTAGCCTCAGTTGTGCCCATCAGAGTCGGGACATTTATTAATCACACAGCAAAATCCTTTGTGTTGAATTAACACCTACAGTGCTGAATGAGCCTTTACAGCGTCCATTTGTATCCAGCTAGACTTTGCAGGGCTTTTGGATTCGCAGGACTGCTGATTTTGCTGGGTTGGTCTGCTAACAGATTTGCCTCATACTTCAAGTATTCATGTCAATTATGTGTCTTTTTGGAACAGTGGTCCAAAATTTAGCTTTGGCATTTCCCTTCAGTAATGTTTGTATCTTAGCGTGATCGTTAGATGCGCTAGCTGCTCCATCAGTGTCGAGAACAGCTATGCTAATATGCTGTTCCTCTGAGGAATGTTTTCTAGAACATGGTCCCAGCTTATTTTTAGCAGACAACAAGCGTATTTGGCAATTCAAAATGGTTTATTTCCTTCTTGGAGAAAGTACAGATCATTTTAAGCTAAATGAAAGAAGGTTTTTGGTTCAGCTTGGTTTGCTTTTAGTGTGTGAGATCTATGTGGGGTGTTATTTGCTTGTGGTCCTGCTGAAGTTGAACTTTCCTGAACTGAAGTAAAAATTGCCAAGAGTGGTTTTGGAGACATATTTCAAGGACTTTCTTAGATACATATATACATACAGTGCTTTCAACAAAGTGACATTATCTAGGGGTGAGCTGTGAGAATCATCACATTGAGGACTTTAATGATTTTCTTTGTAAATACTTTATATATGCAAATGCTGAATTAAAATAAGTACTCCTTTTTAGCTTTTCTTAGACTAGGCCTTAATTTGGGACCATAAATGTCAAAAAATCTGTCAAAAATGAGGAAAAACGTGATAATGCTAGTTTCTGCTAGCACCCCTATGGGATTCTATTAGTAAGTAACGCCAGAGATGGTAGAAAGGAGGAAACCTGTAACTGGTTGGAAACTGAATGGGAAAGGTTGTAACGCTCAACATGGCATCTGCTTACAAGGAAAGTCTTCCCCTTCAATAAATTGTCATTCGGCTTGCTGGTTAAGTTGTAAGCAAGAAAAGCCCCACTTTGTTGTGGAGATATGTGCAGTAGCCAGAACAAGCTGAACAATCATGTTTTTGTGTGTTATTTGAATCAAACACTACCATTAATGCCCTTTTTTGGATTTTGTAATTGCAAGTATGTATTTTAAACATTAATGTGGCTTTTAGTTTTGGTTTTATAGGTCTCTCTCCATGCAAAGAGATAGGAGTCTGTTCTTCTCATGACTGCCCAGTTGCATTGCCAAGATGGCCACCGAGCGGACAGACTTTCCTTAAGGACTTTGGTAGTGCTACACTAATGGTGATTCACATGAACATTTTTGTCCTAGATTAAATCATTCAAGTCATTAGAAGACAGTGACATATGTTACATTATTACTTGTAGTGGTTTTGCAGCGACTCCTTCAGTAAAGATTCCTGGCGTACTGTTTTCCACTTCTAACATCTGACTGAAACGTTATGATGCTACCGCTCCTGTTCACAGTAATTAATGTTTTTAGGACTTTCAGAAGGCCTAGAGTGATTTTCTTCACAAAATGATCCCACCCATTGAGAATCAGAATGTGACTGGTTGATTCCACTGTTAGTTCCCCATTATGTTAGTGGTTAATCTGACACGTTAGGACTTCAGTTCAGCCTCTGAAGTCCTAACCAATGGGAGAGCCCCCCTAATGACCACAGGGAAAGTATATCCTGACTGGATAATTTTCTGTTGGGCATTTCAAGAGTTTAAACCTTTTGTTTCCAACTAAAACAACAAGCATAATACTTACATTAAATAACAATGAACAAAAAAATGACTTTTTTTCTTTATTTCACTGAAATCATTAGGCCTTGTCTGTAGGCTTAGAAGTTCTTGAGGATTCCCCCAGTGCTTAAAATGTGGTGGTGTGGCTTCGCTGCTTAAAATGTGTTGTTTCTGATGGGTGGTTGGTTGGACTTTTGTAAAATCTCTTTTCCTTTCTTTCTTTCTCTCAGAACGCTTCATCAGCAGTTTGAGAGCTATAAGGAGCAAGTGAGGCGGATTGGGGCGGAGACCAAACGCCAGCAGACCATCCACAAGGATGATGCCCCCACCTGCGGGATCTGCCGCAAGACCAAGTTTGCTGACGGCTGTGGTCACCTCTGCTCCTACTGCCAGACCAAATTCTGCGCCCGCTGTGGTGGGAGGGTGTCTCTACGCTCCAACAATGTGAGGAACAGCTGTTACACCTTCTTTTTTCTACTTTCTTTCTACAACCTTACGGTACCAATACCATTGATCTATCCATCCACCCATTCCTTCATTCATTCACCCGTTTATCCATTCACTCTGTTTGCTTGTGCAGTCATGTACTCACTTGCTTGTCTTGATGTCTGGCTTACCATGAGTGATCAAATAACTTCATGTTTAGAACCGCTAAGCTACAGACTTGCCACAATGGTGCCAAAGGTACCACAATGTGTTGTTTGAGTGATGCCATAGAAGAACCACTTTTGGTTCTCTAAGGAACCATGTTTGAGAAAGAGGCCTGTGAGGATTTTTTTAAAGATTTAAAGACCCTTCCTATGTAAGTTCTTCCTAGAACTCATCCATTATGTGCACTCACTCACACAACTCTAAAGCATTGGTTCTTAAAACGTTCCCCACGGACCCTCAGATGGTCCCGATTTTTGCTCCAACCTAACTTGCAGCATATAGGGATACAGCAAAAATGTGGACTGTCTGGAGGTCCTTGAGAATTGGTTTGAGAACTACTACTCTAAAGAACTATCCATTGAAAGGGTTCCAGGGAGCCAAAAGTGGTACTTCCATGGCATCACTCTGAAGAACCCTTTTCAGCACCTTTATTTTAAAGGGCATAGAAGATTTTGTTGTTAACTTCAGTCATGGCAGTTCATGCAGGCCAGAACAGCCTTAAAATAAAGCTGTCAAAAGGGTTTTTGAAATAAGCACCTTTGGATTCCTTAAGAATCTTTCAGTAGATGGTTCCTTGGAGAACCTAATAAATACTCCAGCATTTTAATCTAATCTCTATCTAGATGAACAACTTTTGGTGAAAATGAGACGCAAGAGCATGAAGAACCTTTTTAATGTTTAAAGAACCTCAATATAAACATTGACCCTCTTTGAAATGCTGGAGTATTCCTGCAAAGAACCAGCTATGGTAAAGTTCTTTGGAGAACCAAATGCAGTGCTGCTTAAAACAATGCTTTTGGCACCATTATATTTAAGATACTGTTAGAAAATTGTTAGTTAGACAGATTTTGAATTGCAGAATATGAGATAAATACAGTTGTATGCAAAAGTTTGAGCACCCCTGGTCAAATTACATGTTCTCACCTGCCAATTTTAGTGCACAATTACTGTTTATTCGCTGAATAGAATAAAAAAAAAAACAAACAGAAAATATGACCTGTGCAAAAGTTATGGCACTTTTTATTGTATGTTCTCAATATGTTAAACTCAGCAGATAAATACTTAAATTCCTGCCCTGTAGAGGATGTGTTTTATATATTATATAAAGTCTCTATTTAAGTTTTTTTTTTCACTCACAAACTCAACAAACCTTTGCATATAACTGTATATAGTTCTATATTTAATTTGAGTCAGTGGTGATTAAAGAGAGATAAATCCAGCTTTTATTATCATATAAGAAGTACAGTTGTTCTCAGTTGCATACGTGGATAATATTAACTCGTTATTAGGGTCAGGACATTGGCCAAGCACCATATGATAACAACCACAAAAAAAATGTATATATATAACCAGTCCCAAAAGAACCCGTAAGCAGATATTAGCCAGCACTTCCATTCACTGCTGCCTTTGCCTTTACATCAATAGAGCATTGACTGGGGTGGGTTCCAGCATCGCTGCATGGGGCGGAGTATTTTCGGCTCCTGCCTCAGCCTGCTGTCTTTAAAAAAAGAGCAACCTTCCCCCAAATCCATCCTACGTTACTTACCTGACAATAGATTGCTCTCTCTGAGCATGCTGAGCTCCAATCTGCCCTGCTTCCGTCCCACCCAGTGTGTATTGCCCCCTGTGGTCACACCCTGTATAACGTATGGTCTTCAATGACGGAGCATCGGCCCATCTGTTCTAATGTGCTTGTATAGGTACAATACAGTTATTACCATCATTTTGCTATGCTATTCTAATGCAATTGTGCAATTATATAATCTATTACACTGTTTGTTATATAATGAATAATAATGACATTTGATTTACATTCTATATCATCGGTTTTGAGTACATGATTCAGACTTAATTCCATTTTTTTCCGTGGCATAAGACTACAACAATGTGGCAAACATGTACCAATTACTTTCCATGAAATTCAAGTCATAATGAAATGTTTCTGCTTCTACTTACGATCATAAATGCAGTATCGATTGAAAGTTTAGAACTTCTATGCTTGTTTTGTTGAGCTAAGAGTGAGAAATAGTTCATGTAAAATTGCGCGCCATGCTCATGTCAGTGATAACTAGGGTGGGTTTCAATTTAAAAAAAATTTTAAGCAGTTGTGAAATTTCAAAAAATTAAATAGTGAATTATGATGTTTGATAAGCAATTCAAGAAACCTTCTCTTTAAAGTTATGCATTCCTATATTTAAAAGCCTTGAGACTTACGAATTTTCCATTAAAGGGCAGTGCAGAGCCAGCAGATAGTACAAAGCACAGCTATTGCACATAGGAAGTGTTGCAGAAAAGTGCAGATAAGCAACAAACTCACGCTCATTTTACACTGTACTCTTATTGATGTAATAGAATAAAACTTTCAGCATAATTTAACAAGTTTATCATGTTTGGGATCTGCAAACTAACTCTCACAATCTCGCTTTCAAGATAAAAGTTTGAGGTGAAATAAGTTATGACGTGAGTCGGCTAGTATTGTTAGCTGGGGTAACAGACGCCTAGCAATGGGTTGTCTTGAAGACTTTAGATTGGCTGCTTTTCTTGGTGTAAATATTAAGCCACATCTCACCTATTTTGACTTTTTTGTGGTCTGCTTCTGGATTTAGTTTAATGCAGTAGTAGAGAGATGCAGAGCTCAGAGACAGTGAGCAGTGCTGGAAATCGCTGACCGGTGCTGTGCGTCAGCGTCGGTCTGCGCACTAAAACATCAGTTTTGATTTTTGGCCATCGCTTGCCGTCCACCCAACATGGGGAGGGGGTTTTGAATACTTTTCAAACAATGCCTTATACGTTTTGAATATCAAATTTTAATTAAAACGCCCATCCCTGCTGATAACCTTGACGACTAAATATCTGTTCACATTAGCAGGCGACAGAGTGACAGGCGACCAGTCATCTGCTGTGGCAGTACACGTGATTCAGTGATACTCCAGCAGGGTGACGTGATAAATTGAGCTGAGATTTTCACAACTTCATGCAAATGAAGTATGATGTGGTGAACTGACGATCCAAATGACCAATCCAATCGTAGACACAGCGGTCAGAGATTCCCAGCCCCTACTCTCTAAACCTTTTGTTTCTATGACTTTTTGTTCCTTTTCCCAAAAGTATTGCACAAAAAATGGAAGACAACTTATAAACATGTAATCTTATATCTGTGGTTCATATTTTAACAAAACAGCAATACATATACATTCAAAGACCATAAAACTGGCTCTTGTATGTGATAAGACAACACAATATAAAGTTAAAATTATTTGAATTATTTATCCCCATTTTTTTAAATATTCTTAAATTATTAACATTGAAGTAATATTATTACACCCAGTGTTAAGTGAGTCAAAGTCAATGAATGCTTTTCCAGGTCTCATGGGATTTCCACTTGCCTTTATACCCAAATAAATCTGTAAATAAAATAGGACATATCCCACATCCCTTTTAGTTAGCTGGCCTTTTTTGATGATCTCATGTATTCAAATGGGATCTTTGAGTTTGAAATTTAGTTTAGTTTGTTGCCTTTAGCAGCTGTCAAGATCGGCACAGGAGACAGGATTTTATTGGCTCTTGGGTCCATTTGTTTGTATATTGGACATGACTTTCCTCTTGTTTACTCACTGTTGTCTTTCCGTCCTGGCTATCTTCCACTGAGTGCTAATATTCTATATTTTGGTTAATGGCCTAGCCTTCTTATTGTTGCTATGTTACAATATTCCATAAACCACTCTGAATTACTTTATTTCCATATTAACATTTAACCCCTTGAATGACCAGGGGCTGCTGGTGGGCCCAAAGTTTACACTTCTATAATCTAAGAAGAGCTCAACCCGTTTGCATTGAAGTCCCTGTAGTTACTGAATAATAAGCCTTATTATGGGATTTTAAGGGGTTAATTATGGATATTTTTTAATAGTGAAATTCTCTGTTAATTAATGTATGCATGGACATTATTTCTCACCTGCAGTTCTCTGCTTCTCCTGTGGGAGGCATTACATATACAATCACAGCAACGTCAGTCATTTTCACTGCTGACCTCTTTACACAGATATTATCTAACTATATATATGAGGACACATGTAGCATTAGCAACATGAGGATCAGAAGGATTCGGCTGGTTCATGTGGCCGTCGACTAACAGCCAGTCAGCTTGCTTTTCATTCCTCTTTGTCCTTTATTCGTTGACCAAATTCTCATTTTTGACATGTATACACACAAAGATGGTTCTTAAAGCGTTCTTTAGTAAAGAAATGGTTCTATATAGAACGATGAGCACTGACAGAACCCTTTGCATGATCTATATAGTACCAAAAATATTCTATTGTTACAAGCATGACACTGTAACAATAGAGGAACACATTTTGGTGCTATATAGAACCCTTTCTAAAAAGGTGCTGTGTAGAACTGTCCACAGCATATTCTCCGTCAATCTGAAGAACCTGTTAATGATGCAAAGAACCCTTTAATCATGCAAGTGTTCCTTGAGTGTTCATGGTTCTATTAGAATCGTTGGTTTTATTAAAGAACCCTTGAAGAACCATCTTTTTTAAGAGTGTAGGGCATACATGTGCAGAACCTGAAGTATTGTTCTCATCTCTCATCCATACCATACATGTTTCCTGTTGGATGGTGTATATATATATATATATATATATATATATATATATATATATATATATATATATATATATATATGAAATCACTTCTTCTTTTTTCTCCCTGATTTATAAATAATTAAAGGAATACTCCAATATTTTCAACTTAATCTGCAAACCTAATGTTGCACCTGTAGCATACAGTCGATTACTATAAACAATAATTTGAGATATTTCAATGTACTTAGTGCATAAACAGACAACCCACTGAAGCATTTTGCCATTGAATTCCATTAAAACAGTATTTCAGTTTTTTTTTCCTATCATTTTCAAAGTATAGGGAAATTATTATTCGTGATAATTGAACGTACGCTACAGATACAGTACTGTGCAAAAGTGTGAGTCCACCTTTCATTTGTTTAATTTCCTAAAACGGTCCCAAAAAGGCTGTGAAGTACGTTTTTCAGATTAGATGTAAAAAAAAACAAAAAAACAGGAGTTTTATTAAAAGATACAAAGAAAATGGAACTCATAACAACCATGCAACACCTGGTAGACACCAAAACTGTCCCCATCACATAAACAGCGCTTAAAACTTTCGTCTCTGAGAGAGAGGAGAAAATCAAGCTCCACTCTTGATTCAGATCTGAAAAAATCCGCAGGAGTTTCTGTGGAAATAGTAAAAATGCAAACCAAACAAAGAAGCTGCTGGTGTTCTCAGAACAATGGACTGACCACCCCAGAGTCCAGACCTCAACATCACTGAATGTGTTTGGGATTATTTGGATTGTGAGAAGCAGAAAATGTTAAACCAACTTCTAAGACTGAACTTTGGAGGTGTGAAAAATATCCCTGCAGATTTCTCTGCAGAGCTGAAAGTGAATCTCCTGAAAAGAATGGAAGCTGTAATAAAGGTAGAGAGTGACACACAGAACTGAAAAAGTGATTTTATATTTAGTCATGGAGGGTTCTGTATAATTCCTGTTGTTCGGGAAATGAATGAAAGGAGGGTCGCTGACTTTTGCACAGTGCTGTATGGCAGATACAGACTAGTTGAAAAACACTGGAGTATTCCTTTAACAGTGTTGATGCTTTAATAAAGTGCACTCCAATGTAGGACACTAGAGTCTGATTTAGAACACAACCCGTTGTCACGCTCGCTGAATGTGTCTGTTTTAGCACACAGAAGGAAGGCACTTTTTCCTTCACTAACACTTCCTCCTCCTTCTCTTCCTCCTGTCCCTGCCTTCCCCTCCTTCTCTGTCTCTCTCTCTCTCTCTCTCTCTCTCTCTCACACACACACACACACGCACACACGCACACACACGCACACACACACAATGTCTCCATTTCTCACCATTTATTTTCGATTTCCAATTTCACACTTTCTTTCCCTCCCTCCCTCTCCCCTTTTTCCTCACCTCCTCCTCCTCTTTGCCTGTCTTTCACTCCTCTGCTTCCTGGACTGCATGGCTCAAGGAGGATAAAGTGGTTAGCATTTTTTTTGTTTCTTCTCTTTTGTGTGATATGATTGTTGTGTGGCTTTGAGAGGAACTGAGTTGTGTTTGCTCTCGATATGTTTGTGAGACTGTGTGCTAATATCTACGCAGCTGCACATGGATTAAGATATGAAATACTTTATTTATATGAGCAGTTAACAATAGCTGACACAGAAGGTGAATACTGGTATAGCATTGTTGCATAATATTGATTTTACCAAATCATGGATATTATAATAATGGTGAATCACAAATAGCTCCGCCCACAAGACAAATTATAGGTGATATCAAACAGCTTACATTTTTCATATAAATATAATAAAAAGTGTTTATTATTTATTGATGTATTATTTATTATTATTATTATTATTATTATTATATAATAATAATAATAATAATAATAATAATAATAATTTATTTTTTTCAAAATGCAAAAGTCAGAGACTCTTCATTTATTAAATGTTAAGTCAAAACAGCCATTAAGTGCAAGTTATTCATTTTTCCATAGATATTTCTGAGGAGGTCAGATATTAGATAATCCACTTGCATAAAGAAGGAGAAAGTCAAAGAAAATTAAGAAATAAAAAATGTTTCCAGAGTTTCCAAAATCTGAGTTTAAAAAACGATACAAATAAAGAAAATGGGAAACATAACAACCATAATAATCAGATAAACAGCACTTGAAGTTTTCATCTTTGAGAAATCTTCCCCTCTCGCTTCAGTGTAACTTCTAAGACTGAACTTTATAGGTGTGGAAAATTATCCCTGCAGATTTCTCTGCAAAACTGAAAACAAGCCTCCTGGAAAGAATGGAAGCTGTAAAAAAAGGAAAAGAGTGGAAAAATGTGTATTATATTTATTTTACTTTAGATATATTTTGAGGTAATTTTCAGTTAAATATATGTTTTTCACCTTTTTTCCTGTGACTGAAAAACCTGTATTTAATGGTTGTTTTGACTGGATATTAAATAAAAGAAAGGATTGTTTCTGAATGCACAGTACAGTGTATTACTATATATCACATAAATAAGCAGTTATCATTATTATTATTATTATTATTATTATTATTATTATTATTATTGTCCAGACACTAATTTTGAAAATATTGTGATGTAAATTACATTTCATATCGCCCACCCTTAGGCTTGATCACTTGTTCTTTATGACTAATTTTGCTCCTGTTGTTTATCTCTTGCTCCTGCAAAGTGTCTCATAGGGAAGGACAGGGTAAGGAATTCTGGGTATTGTAGTTTTTGCATGGGGCACAGATCCCTTCCTCACTACAGTCAGAATCACACAGAGCTAGCATGTGTCAGCTGACCGAGTGCCCCTCCCCCTCCTTGTGGCTGTACGGCTGTTCCAGGATTACCACGGAGATGTGGCAGAGTTGCTATAGGGACTGCCACACAGGGAGTGGGTGATGGGCATGGGGTGGCATTATGATTGGTCTGACTATCGGTGTTGTCACAGACAGTTGGTTGCACTTTAGTTGAACAGACTCTGAACCTGAATAGACACACGAGAGGGAAACAAAGCTTTTATAAGGAACTGAAAATGCTTATCAGCAGTTAATATTTTATGAAGTCCCTTTCAAATAAAGTGCCACCAACAGAACATGAATGTGCATGTTTGCTGCACTTGCCTGTGCCCTGGGACTGCAACGGGCATGCCACAGAGGTCAAGGGTCAGGGGTCAGCGGTTCTGGCACAGAACATATATGGGGTAGCGAGAGTCCCTGTTTTTTCAGTGCAAGTGATCACATGTGAGAACTTACCCTGCATTCCGATGGGCACTTGCGACTCTTTATGCGCGTTTTTGCACCTGTGCTGTTCTGAATGTGTTTTTCTTTCCGTGTCTTATATATCCAGCATCTGTGGTTTTGTTGTAAGTTTGTTATGTAGGAGTGTGTGTGTGTGTGTGTGTTTGTGTGTTTGTGGTCAGCAATGGGCCCTGTTCACATTTTCAGCTTGCCACTTCTATGGTTTCTGAAGCAGGTACAGTTGTGTGCGAGAGTTTAAACACCCTCAGTCGAATGACATGTACTGTTAATTTTTTTTAAATGAAATGAAAAATAAGTTAACACATCTACTGCGAACAAACCTAAATATGACATTTTCTGCAAATCTTGACATTTAAATATGACATTTTTTCCTGTTTTCTCCACAATTTGGTTATGTCCAATTTCACACAATCATACGATGCAGCCGACGATGGGAGAGTGAAGGCGAGCACAAGTTTCCTCTGAGACACCAGAAGAGCCACTACATCTTTTCAAACTGCCACTAATGCAATGTGATGGGACAGCTTGACACGCTTGGAGAACGCTAACTGGCAATTCTGTTACATCAGCTAATAGACACCTGCATTGGCTAGCACAGGCTGAGTAATGCAGGGAAATGGAGGACCATCCTACCCTCCAATAGAGAGCGAGGCCAATTATGCTCCTGTGGATGCCCGGCCACAGATGGCTGTGGCATTGCTGGGGATCTATCTCGTGATCTCTCGATAAGAAGGCCAGCGTTTAGCCCGTGTGCCACTCGGGAGCCCAAAAATATTACATAAAATACAAAATGTGCCATAACTTTTGTCGAGCCCACATTTCCTGTTTTATTTTTTCGAATATGTTACAATTAGCAAAGAAAGAGTAATTTTATATTAAAATGTACAGTGTTCTCTGTAGAGGACGTGTTAACTTATTTTCACTTCCACAAAGTCAACCAAACATGTCATGTCAACTCAGTTCATGCTAACTGTAGATTAATGTAATTGATGAAATACCAGAGGTCAACCCTCCATTTTCATAGAGAGGGCACTTTTTTTTCCATTTATGGTCTCGAGGTCTGCATGGGACTCTTTTTTTAGTCCCACACCCGCCCGCTCCCTCATAAAATCTGAATCATTTGTCCCATCCCCGCTTCCAACTGAAATGTTTTGGCCCACTTCCGCCTGCGCAGTTCCTTCAAGGAGAACTGACATCCAGTATTTGACATAGTCTATTCACAAATACATTATCCTCTGTGGAAAAACACAGTAGTCACGGTCATCGGACTTACTGTGGAGTAACTTCACCATACAGTCATTATTCCCAGTAGATACTGAGCATGAAATAAATCACAGTACGGTTATTTTTGGTATTTTGCTGGGCTCAGCAGCTGTGGCTGTCGACCTAAAGGCTCCACCATCTCTGTAAACTACAAGAATTTGTGTGTTCACGTGATCAGTTGCTTCACAACTCTTTAGAAAGACTTTATTCATTTTAATTGTTTAGCTGTTATTATTTTATATTGTTTATATATAAAATTTAGTGATTGTTCTACTTTATTTAGGCTGTTTATTAATAGCTTTGTCATTTTCCCCCACACACAACACTAAAAATTAGTCCTGCGCCACAAGATATTGTGCTAGGTCCAGTGGGAATCCCGCAGGAACACAAGCGTCTAGGCCTAGCTCTAACAATCACAGTTCGCCAAAGTAAAATACCATGTTTGGCGGTTTTTGTATTGAGTTGTAGCACTGGGGGACAAAGAAATGCTTGAGTGTACAATTTGTTTTGGCTAAACTGCAAATGCTTTCAGAGACCAACAGAAGTGGCAACCCAGAAATTTGAAAGGGGCCTATATGGTTTCTTTACGTGGTGAAGGAAATGTTGGGTTTGCTATCCTGTCCAGTCATCTAGCTTTAAAAGCTGCATGCTAACTTTAGCTGTAATTAATCATTCGGTAAAGTTAGATACAGTCTAACTTGATGTCTTTCTCCTTCTGAGTTTGAGCTGAAGCAAGCAGCAGGGTTCCCAATTAGTGTTCTTGTTGTCAGAGAGCTAGCCATCTAGAGATGATTAATCACCACCGCTAGTGCGTAGCGTTTAGCCTGTACTTGAACTACATGTGCCACATCTATTCATGGCAGCATTAGCGAGAAGTCTTTGCTGGCTAGCGTGCAGGTGATATCAGGGGCAGTCCCCTGGTGGCTCATTAGTGTAAAAATATGGGCCCCAGTCTCCTTTGTTAGTCACCTTTTAGTGCTAAATTACAGCTGCTTAGCTTAAAATTCAGTTGTCAGAGGAATAGAATTAGAGCTCAACCGCTAACCGTGGTGTGGTTAGGGCCTCCATTTATCCAGTCTTGTTTGCAGCCTAAACGCTGACACAGGCAGTATTGGCTCTAAACATTAAGTGTTCCACTCTCCCTCCTCCTGCCTGCCTCAGATTCAAGATGGATGAAGCAGGATTGTAAGAGTGAGAGCACATCATGAGGGGAAAAACTCCAGATTGATAACAGCTAGCCAGAAACAAGATCTGTTAAAGCAGGGATTTTGATGCTAGTCGAACAGGTTTGAGGTGTTGATAGATGTGTTTGTTGGTTATTATATGGATATTCAGAGCTTTAGCGTGACTGTAACACAGCATATTTGTGCTGTTAGGAGCTTTTTCTAGGCTACAGTACCCAAAGCTATAGACAAGCTAACTCTGAGGTAATACAGAGTTTATTATTACTTTCTTAAAAAAAATTATTCACAACTTAGAGATGACATATTAGTATTGATAGGTGTTGGTATCGGACTGATATTAGTAGAAAATGCTAAAAAACGATCCAATCCAATCCTGTAACAAATCTACCCTGAAATAGCACACACACTGTATGATGGCATGTGTTTCTTTTCTGTGGGGCAGTAGAGTGTTTGAGCTGTATGAGCACGATAGCCTGTTAGGGATGTACCTGCATAAATTTCATGCTGGTTTATGCTGGTTTGGTCTGGCGCTGGTTTAGTTGGTCAGCCAGCATAGTCATGCTAAGTGACCAGCGTACCAGCATCCAAACCCAATTTATACTGATTTTGCTAGTTACCAGCTATGCTGGTCTATGCTGTTTTTTCTAGCTGGGTTATCAGCATCAAAAATGTTTAGATCTGACCAATATTTAAAAATAAATAAATAAATAAATAATAACATATATATTGTAGTCCAGTGGAGCAGAATGTTCAAGAAATGCTGGACTACTGTGCTACAATACCTGCATTTTATCCATTTTACTGCATTTGTAACACTATAGAAAGAAGTATTTGTAACACTTTACTTTCATGGTCCATTGTAGATGCTTTGTAGATGCTCAGTCTGTCTTTCAGTAACATTCAACTAAATATCTGTTATATTCAACTGAATGTGAAGTTGAGTGTGATTGATTCTATTAAACCTAACCCTAAACCCAAACCAAACCTTAACTTCCACACAAACCCTACACCCACTGCCCAACCCTAACCATAATTCTGTTAATGATCAAATAAATGTCAGCAGTAAGTTTGTTAATAATTATAGAATTTGTAGATCATCTTTAGGGCACCATCAAAAGGAAGTGTGGCTGAAATATTATAAATTTCTCTGTAATGGTAATACGGATAGATTTAGTCCCAATGTTTACATTTTATAAATGTTTATGTATTAGTATATGTAGATACAGTATGTTCATAAAAAATATTGGATATTGTAATTGGCCCCAAAATAGATACTTAAATGCCTCAATTAAAAATAGCTCATTTTAAACTTCAGTAGTTTTAATGAAAAAATGCCCAATCTGTATCAGCCAGTACAAGATTTTGCTGTAAGGAATGGTGCATTCTGGGAAATACACGTGCAGCTTCATGTCAAAGAGATTAAAATGTCAATTTTTTTATAGTAATTTTTCATTAGCTAATAATTTGCTGAGCACATTGGGAAAGTGACCAGTACTTTGCGAAGTCTTCAGCAGCTTGGCTCTGATTGTAAGTGATGGTAGTGGAGCTTCCCAGCATCTCTTGCTGTTTTGTTGGTTATATTGGTTGTATTGAAGCAGATGTTGGGTCACTGTCCGCTTTGTGATAAGCACATGTAATAGTGATGGGCATTTCAGCTTTCTTCAGTCAGTCAGATAAACTGGCTCAGCTTACAAATAAGAGCTCTTTCAGGCCCCAAACACAATCTTCACTCGGTAGCATTTTTCCCAAAGTTAGCCAAGTTAATGATAACATCAATTTCAAATAAAACCTCAATCCAACTTCTAACTGACTAGTTAACAAGATATGTTTATTATTTAAAAAGTAAGTCAAATGAAGATTTCAGAGGATGAATTTCAGAAGGCCGGAATCACAAGACAGGCAGACGGACATAATGTAGGCAAATCCATCAACCAGTCATCAACAAACAAAGACAGGTTATAATAATAAAGCAGAACAACTAACAAGAAACACTGAGAAAC